GATGATACACCTCTTTGATAAATCTGGCTGCTAGAGGCCGGTTTAGTTCTACCCTAATAGCCTCCTTCTTGTCCTGCGTGAATCATCAGAGCTTCTGCTTGATCGGCTTGGCGGTCGGTGAGACATGTAAGGAGTGCTCGATTAACTCCCTTGGTACCTCAGGCATATCGGTAGGTTTCCAAGCAAACACATTTGCATTGGTGCATAGGAAGCTGATGAGCATGTCTTCCTATTTAGGGTCTAGATGGACCCCGATCTTCACGGTCTTGGTCGGATCGGCGAGGCCGTGGCTTACTTCCTTGGTTTCGATGGCCTTGGTGGCTTTTCGAGTCATCTCCATCGCTGGGATCTCCTGGTCTTCTTCAGGCACCTTCTTGGATTTGGCGAGGCAGGCTTCCATTCGTGTGGAGAGGTCAAAGGCTTCGGCGAGGGTGAGGCTCTCCATCTCGCAATCATAGGCAACAACGAGGTTGGCCTGCAGGGAGAGGACCCCTCTGGGCGCTAGCATCTTCAGCACTAGATAGGAATAGTGTGATATAGCCATGAACTTGGTGAGTGCCGGTCGACCAAGAATGGTGTGGTAGACGGTATCGAAATCAGTGACCAGGAAGGTGATGTACTCGATGCAAAAACATGTTGGTGGTGCCAAATTGCACAGGCAGTGTAATCTCGATGAGGGGCTGAGATGCCCTGCCTAAGACGATCCCCTAGAATGGAGAGTCTACGACGGTGAGGTCTTGCTTGGATAGGCCCAACTCCTTTAGGGCGCTAGCGAAGAGGATATTAAGGGCACTCCCTCTATTAACGAGGACCTTCATGAAGCGCACCTTCTGGATGATGGCATCTAGAATGAGCGGGAAGCATCCGGAGTAAGGGATCTCTACCCACTGGATGGCCCTAGTGAAGGTGATGGGCTGATCTGACCAAGGGAGGTACCTAGGGTCGGCAATAATGCTAGTAGCTTTGACAGCTAGAACCTGCCGAGAAGTGAGCTTCTAGTAGCACCTATTCTCGGAGGCTGCACGACCCCTGAAGATTGTATGGACGGTCTTGCTGGAGTCTTGGAAAGCACCGCTCGCATCTATGGGTGGCTCACGATCCTTGCCCATGTCGTCATCGCGGTCGTCGCGCTTCTTGTTCTGCTCTTCTAGTAGGGCCTTAGCGAGGCCCATGCACTCCCTCATGGTATGCTTCATGCCCTTATGAACCGGACATGGGCCGTCGAGCATCTTGTCGAACTGCACATTGTAATTATGCTTGGCACAAGGCTGCTCGACGGAGCCAATGAAGTTGTCAGGTCAGCGGCATCTCAACTTCCTAGGTTTGAAGCTCTCAGGTCTGTCATGGCTGTCGCAATTGTTGGGACGGTGCTCGTGGTCGTCGCGATGCCGGTAGCGGTCGTCGTTGTGTCGATCATCGCGGTGCATGCTGGGCGATCAGCCTCCTCAGCATCGGCATACTGGTTGGCCATCAAGAGCATCTCACCGATCGAGACCGATGGCTTCCTATTGAATTTCCTGCGGAGCTCATCATGATGATAGAGCCCTTAGACGTAACAGGTGATTACTTTGGCTTCAAGGATGTTAGGAATCTGATTCCTTACTTCCGAGAAGCGGTGGATGTAGCTCTAAAGGAGTTCCCCTGTCCTTTCGTAGATCCTGGCTAGGTCATGCTTTGTTGCCGGCCATTCGTAGGTCACCTTGTAGTTTTCAATGAATATTCTCTTGAGGTCGTCCCAAGAGTCAATGATATCTGGCTAGAGGCTGGTGAGCTAATTCATTGCAGCGGGCTAGAGCATAACTAGCAAGTAATTTGCCATCATGTCGGTGTCACCACCACCGGCTCGAAAGGCGATGGCATAACTCGTCAGCCACTGCTCGGGGTTGGCGTGGTCGTCGTACAGTTGGACCCCATAGATCTTGAAGTTTGGGGGCCACTGTATGGCATGGATCCTTGTCGTGAAGGCTTGCGGGCCATCAGTGATGATGGCGGCGTCAACAACAACTTGTGGGGCGACGTCGGCTACAACTCGTGGAGCGGCGGCGCCGATCGGAGGTTGGACGACAAGCTGAGTAGTGTCACCGGCGATAGGTCAGGCGACGTTATCGGAGGTAGCCGGCTCAAGCAACTGAAGAGTGGCTTTGGGATTGCCCCATTGTTGGTCATATTCTTGTCAGCGAAGGATTTCACCCTCGTGGCGTGAATTGCGATTTCTGTCGATGTGACGGTGAACGTCATGGAGCTGGTTGAGGTGGCTCCGAACATCTTCACCACATGGCTGGTTGACTTCCTGATTGGTGTTAGGGTTGGCGTAGCGTAGCGGCTGCCCGGGGTTGGCAACATAGTTACCTCACGACCCCCTCTGGAGATAGGGGCCGCCAGCCTGGAAATGGCTTCCGCCTGGATGGTGGGAACAAGATCGCCTTGACCTCCTAGATCGGTTGGACCTAGTAGAGTGGGATGGAGCTTGATTTTCATGAATTTTGAGGATATGAACTACCGATGCCTTAAGCATGGCGGTGGCCTTGGCGAGCTCGGGAGCCTGCTGGAGCCTGCTGAGCTCATTCATGGCCACGGCGAGGTTGGTGCTCGGCGTTGGCTAGACTTGGTGCCCATCGACTTGCATGAACTCATCGTCGAGATTACGGGCAATGCGGTGGCCCCCTTCCTGGTCAGCGTCACCACCACCGGCTGTTGTGGCAGTGTGGCGCGCTTTTGCTGCGTGGTATCTGGCGCGGCCAGCGTTCTTGTGTTCTCGGGCGATGCACTGAGATCGTTTTCCCTATCTCGAGGGGGGCTATCACAGCTGACCATGAAGAGCTACCCAAGGAAACATCTGGGCGGTGATGGAGTCTCGACGAGGATGTCAGTGATAGTCTCGGTGATGGTTTTGGTGGAGCCTTTCGACTCTATCCTAGATCTTCCTCCAAGATAGGGAGTATGGAGTCATCATCGAGCTGACGAATCTGCACCATGTTAATTGCTGGCACAAACTGGTCGGCGACAGGCAGATCGGGCTCGGAGAGTGGGTGGACGTAACCGATCTGGTCGGTGTAGACATCACGCAAGGCATCTTGATAGACAACGACTGTGTTGGCCAACCCATAGGGCTGGGCGACCATGAAGCCTTGCACTGGAGTTTCTTGCCCAGCCCTAGGCGGACCGGCTCTAGAAAGAGGTCGGTGTTGCACCGTGCGCCCTGTGGGACTTGCCGTGATGGTCAGATCTGTATCTTGCCACCTCAGGCGGCGTGATCGGATGGAGCGTTTGGTGCAAGCCACCGTAAAGTGTTGGAGCGGCGGGAACTCATCGTCGTGAGGAGACCGATGCATGACAAATCCCACGAGCGATAAGCACTCGGCCAGTTTCTGGTCGACCCGATCTATAGAGGAGATCAGATCATCCTATAGGATAGGCTTCGTCTGCTAGTGTGACGCCGGTGGTCGAGTTATCGAAGAGGAAGGTGACCCCAGGAGAGATCCCGAGATCGGATCTGCTGATGCAGATATAGGCGCGATTGGTGCAGGGTTGACCTGCACCGGCTGGATGATCTCCCCGTCATCGCTGGCGTTGATGACCCAGGTGATAGATCCGATCGTGAAGAATTGGTCGGGCTTGGGAGCGAACGGAGAGCTTGGAAAGCGTACCATCTGGCTCGCCATGGGATCAAGCGCACACCCCTACCTAGCGCGCCAACTATCGATAAAAGATGCTCGGCAGTCCATCGAGGGGGCTCCCCGCGATGGTAGATTTGTCGAAGAGGTGAGCGAGATCAGGAGTGAGATGGTGACAAGACACAAGATTTATATAGGTTCGGGCCGTCAGCTTGACCCTAATCCTGTATCCCGTCGGTTTGTATTGGCTAACGTATATGATTGCATGTGTTTTGAGGGAGGTGCCCTACCCGCCTTATATAGCCCGGGGTAGGGTTACACGTCGATCCGGTCTACAACTAATTGGGTAACAAATAAGATTTACAAGGGATATTACATTCGGCATATCCTAACAGATTCTATGCTATGTTCAGGATGTTGCGGTGGTGCCTTGCGGCGTGTGCTGAGCATTGCCGTGCGACACAAAGTCTCCGTCTCGTGGGCTGGACCGCTCCTGCTGGTGCGGCCCATGTGCATAGCCATGGTACTTGGGGTCAGACCCCCCACAGCCGGGCCAGGGTAGGGCAGGGGCGCCCATGGCCATGGCGGCAACGAGAAGGGGAAGGGGAAGAAGGAGGCCGCCGCAGACATTGTAGAGTCTTGTCGGAGCTTCACGGCGGAACGGTGGGTGGTGGGCCGCGACGACGCCTCAAAAGGTGAAAGAAGAGGTAGAGTTTAGGGCGTGTTTAGTTCACGAAATTTTTTGGGTTTGGCTACTGTAGCACTTTCGTTTGTATTTAGTAATTAGTGTCTAATTATGGACTAATTAAGTTCGAAAGTTTCGTCTCACGATTTTTTAATCAACTGTGCAATTAGTTTTTTTCGTCTATATTTAATACTCCATGCATGTGCCTCAAGATTCGATGTGATATTTTGAGGTGAAAATTTTTGTGAACTAAACGGAGCCTTAGGATAAGCTTTGAGCCATTGGATGATCACATCAACGGTCCAGAAATCATTTGTTTTTCCCTCAAAACACCGAGTGCTCCGTGGACATATCCATAAAAAATCGAACCATAGGGATCCAGCCCTGCACCGATTTGCGTGCGGTGTGCCTACCCGTCACCTTCTCCGTGTTCTAGCCGCATCCGTCCGTCGTGGACCGTGGCACACGAAAACCTGTTCCATACATACCCTTTTGGGTGGGTCCAAGGCCTCGACTCAAGCTTGTTAGGCCCACAAGTCGGGTGTACGTCGACACCCGATGTAAAGCCTCCCCTGTGCAGCACGGAGCAGCCAGCCCTTCTCTCCTCTCGTCTTCCCCGTCCGTCGCCTTCACCGACCCAGCCAAAACCCCAACAAATCCTCTCTCCAAACCCCGCTCACGCGCAACGCGCCGCCGCATCCATGGCCGGCGAAGACGGCGCCGCCCCTCCCCCGCCTCCGCCCCCGCTCCCGTCCTACCCTGAGGTATGATTCTCCCATTACATTTTGTTTCCGCCGCCAATCTATCCGCGGTAATTTTTTAATCTGCCCTGTGCTGCTCCCGGGCACGCCCACCGTCTCGACCGTGTTGCGGCCGCTCGCTCGCGCAGATGATCGTGGAGGCAATCCGCGCGCTGGGACTCGAGAACGGCTCCAACAAGACTGCGATCTCGGACTACATCAAGGGCAGGTACGGCTCCAGCCTCCCGGCCCAGCACAACGCCATCCTCACGGGTCACCTCGCCCGCATGAAGGCCACCAGCGAGCTCGCCTTCCTCAGGAACAACTACCTCCTCCCCGACGAGGAGGAGGAGGAGGAGGAGGAGGAGGAAGCCTCCCCGCTGCGCACCGATGGGCACAAGGACCCCGCCGACGCCGAGGACTCTACTGGCGTGTTCGACGCCACTTCCTTCTTCCTCGACTTCGATGAGGATGAGCTGCTTGCTCCCCCTATCGTCCTCGACGCTGACGACATTGCGGTGCCTGCTCCAGCTCCCGTTGTCACTGCTGATGTCAACCCTGTTCCTACCAAGCGGGGACGCGGACGCCCCCCGAAGCCCAAGGACCCCGTTGCCGTGGGCTCCAGTGGTGAGCCCGCTACAGCTCCTCCCGTCGTCGCCGCTGATGCCGCTGCCGTGCCTGTCAAGCGCGGGCGCGGACGTCCGCCGAAACCCAAGAACCCCGTCGCCGAGGACTCAGCTCCCACTGCGGCGGCTTCCGTCGTCATCGCTGATGCCAATGCCGTGCCTGTGAAGCGTGGGCGCGGACGCCCCCCCAAGCCCAAGGACCCCACCACTGTGGGCACCGACCGGGCCACCAGCGGCATGCTCAGTCCACGTGGCCGTGGCCGTGGCCGCCCGCCCAAGAAGGCCAAGGTCGCCGTGGACGATCCCAGTGGTGAGCCTGCTGCAGCTCCTGGCGTTGCTGCTGATGCCAGTGCTGTACCTGTCAAGCGTGGGCGTGGACGGCCCCCCAAGGTGAGGCCTGCAGTGGTTGGGAAGCCGTCTGAATCTTAAACCACGCATGTTGAATCGTGTGATGGTAATGGTTGCAAGGTTTGGGAGTAGCTTGGCTCATCAAATTGAGTTCTGCACTAACTTTTGCAGTTGGTTAAATAGCATCGGTTAAAGAGTACTCTCAGTAATCTAGATGGGTTTCTGTACATCGAATGGTGGGTGATGTGTAATAGTTAACTGCAGTGTTGCTGCCTGCTAGTTATGATGATGATATTTGCAATGTTGCGGGTGGTGTCTGTCTCCTGGACTATCCCTGATCTGTGCATTTTGACTGGTCAAAACAAATGAATCTGGGTCCGAAATTTCCAAGATTCACCCCTTTCAGTCAGGTCTGAGTTTGTTTTTGCATTTGAATCCCAGAACCTTGATTCTGTTGCAGTTTCTTGTTTGAGTATGGTGGTGTGCTACTGGATTATCGCTGAATTATTCTAGCATACTGCTTGAGTACAGAATTATTTCTTTAATGATCTGTTCTGACATCCTGGATTATATACTATAGTAAAACTTAATTATTTGTTTTTTATCAGCAAGTACATATGTTATTTCGTTAAGGGTGGTTTATAGGAATTGCTTAGGGCTTGTCTGTTATGTGTCAGCATCTCAGCAAAGATTCAAGTTGGTAGTTTAAGGTTCAGTTCAATGAATATGTGATTTGGTTGTTAGTTGCCATTACTATTACACAAACATGTTCAGTGAAAGTAGAATTTTGTTTACACTTTTCTTGTGAACTGGAAGTTGATCTTCACTCTGTTGTACTACCAAAAGAAGAAATCGAGTGTATATATTGAAGTTTTTCCTTGTCTGTGTGCCCTTAATAAGCCTAAGGTGTCATGGCATGGTTGGTTGCAGTATGATATGATATGATTTGTGGTAGGTTCTTGCATTTGAACTATGGTTGGATTGATACATGTCGTTGCAGAGAAGAATTTAGTTTTCATTGTTGAGTTATCAGTTTGACTTCAGCGTAATGAGATGTGCTAGATTGCTTGTCAAAATATTGCTGCATTGTTCTAGCATGCTGGCTTGACTGTATTTTTTTTATGAAAACTTGTGCTACTTTCTGGACTATGATAGTAAAGCTGTAATGTTTAGGATCATTAAGGCATGCATGTTATTTTGGTAAGAGAGGTTTATATGTATCAGATGGAAAGTGAACTAAAACTCTAGCAGCATAGTTTTTTTTTTTTTGGCCTATAGTTCATCCTTAATTGTCAACATAGCGTCAATTTGGATTGTCTGGGTGTGCTTACAGTTGGTATTTTACATGTTTAGTGGAAATAGAATTTTGTTACCACAGTCCTTGAACTGGAAGCTGACCATTTGTCAGAACTAACCCATTAGATATAATGCTTGCGATAGCTTGTTTCTTTTGGACAACTGGAGTATCACAGTTATATTATTTGAAACATTTTCACATGGAGACAATATTGTGTTTTTTTCAGGTTTGAGTTTTTGACAAGGGGTTTGAGTGTCCTTGATTAGATGTCATGGCTGATTAATGTATGATGATACGACCTTGTATATGTGTCCTAAACATGATGCAGGGACAACCATTACATTTTAGTTGAAAAATATCGGCAATTTTTTGTGAGCTGAAACATGAATCTGCATTTTTTTTTGGTGAAATTTGTGCGTTTATGTATATATATCTTGCAAATTTCAGCATATAAATTCACATAATCTTTTGGACATCTTTTACAATAACGAGTCTGATGATTTTAAGGTTGCCATGCCAGGGTTGAATTTCTTGTGCACTTATGTTTTATTATGTTGAATGTCCATGGCATCATTATCTTTTCCACCCACGCCTTTTCTAGATGAATTTAGTTAGTTTTTTCCCCAAATGACACCAGGCGTGACTAGGGATTAGCATTTTCTTGCTTCTTTTCTGGGCCTGTATAGCAGTGATCCTTGCACCCTTCTCATTTGATATGCTAGGAAGTAAGACCGTGTTTGGTTCGGGGCTTTCGGGCGTTTTAATACTTCGTTACCACCGGTTCACAGCCGCATGATCACCTCATTTGCTATTCGATTGGCGCGGTGTCTGAAACCTGTCTTCAGAACGATAGTGCCCATCGCCCGGAGTTATCGATTGGTCGACTGCGCCCCGCACATCTCCGTCTCCGCTTGCAGGATATTCGTGAGGTCGTTCGCGTCCTAATAGCCAAAGAAAGACTACTGCCATCTACACTGTAACAGACAGCAGCGTGAGCTGATTACATTACTGTTACCATCCCAAAAGTTGAACCAAACAGCAACTTAGGAACAAGCCAACAATGAATTTCTTCAGTAAGAAGCCAACAACTTCAGTAACAAAGCCAACAATGAATTTCTTCAGTTGTGTCGGATGTTGCAGATGATTCACCTTAGAAGCTGTGAATGCCATTCATCAGTGGCTTGCCGTCATGGCTTCCGATGTGCTTACTGCTGCGTGAGAAACGCGATAGGCCCATTTTGATTCCCAAACTACTACCGGGCTTTGACCGTGTACCAGCCCGTGCAGCCCAGCAAGGTATTGTGGCCCGCCATACAGTCTAGTAGCGAAGATGCCTTGGCAGCTGCGTACTCCAGTAGGCACAAGACCACAAGAACAACTGCACAAACAAACGATTTCGTTGTAATCAAGCTGTATTGCCTCTCGCTTTTATTGCTACTTCGTTCTTTCCTATTCCTATTTCTTCCTCGTTTGCTTCGTCCCCGCAGCGACAACCATCCACCAGCGCCGCTCCAACCAAGTCGTCTACTCCGCGTGAGCGCGGCCACGCCCCCAATCCCCTCTGTTCGCGGCCGCCCACGCTTCCTCCGCCGCCGGCGCCGCGCCACGATGAAGGATTTCATGAAGAAGATCACCTCCTCCGGGTCCGGGACCGCCTCCTCCTTCAAGGGCACCGCCCACGTCCTCGGCTCCGGCCCCCCCCTCCCCCCCCTCCTCCCACCCCGCTGCCCGCCCCTCAAACCCTAGCCCAAACCCCAGGCCCGCCCCTAAGCGGCCGTCGCCACCTCCCCCGCCCACTTCAGCCACCGATTTCACCCCTTCACGCCCCTCGTCTCCTCCGCCTCCTCCTCCCGCCGCCCCGACGCGAACGGTACCGCGGCCGCTGCCACCGTCGCGTGCCCCAGCTGCGGAGACGCGTTCCCGTCCGAGCTCGCCGTCTCCGAGCATCTCGACGGCTGCCTTGCGTCGGCGGGGGGCGCCCGCGCGCGCGCCGCCGCGTACCTCGCCGCCGACCCGCCCCTGGCCTCCGTAGAGGTGGTCAAACGCCTGCTGGGCAATCTGCTCCGGGAGCCCGGCAACGATAAGTTCAGGCGGGTTAGACTGGGCAACCCGCGGATCAAGGAGGCTGTAGCGAACAGGAAAGGCGGGGTGGAGCTCCTGGAGGCCGTTGGCTTCAGCGTTGGGGATGAGGGCGGGGAGCCCTTCGCCGTCATGGGCGAAGTGCCCAGCGACGCCAGGCTCAACGGGATTAGGAGGGCCGTCCTCCTGCTCGAGGGGGACACCCCTCTGCGCCTCCAGTGAAGGCGGAGGCTGAGGCCAAGGAGAGCAGCAGCAATGTGGTTGATGTGCAGGAAGGTGCTAAGACTATTGATCGGCAGGTAAGCAGAGGGTTTAGGTTGGTAATAAGGCATTTAATGTGCTTGTTTTAGCGTTAATTGGCTGGGTAACACAAAGCTTTCATTCCCATCAATCAGCACAGTTTGGTTGTTTGATTTACTTATTATGTCATGACATTTTCACATGAACTGCCAATTTTAGGCTTGTTTTGTTGCGCTGTTAGCTACATTAGGACTTAGGAGATAATAGTTGGTTATAGACAAATGCTAAAGAACACTCGGTTGTTTTGGAGCAATCCAACACTCGATTTCTTGCACCCTGTGATTAGCTTGGTTACAGTTTGGGGTTGAGTGCCCTTTCTTCTCCAACTCTGGCGGGTTTAGAAAAAAACTGGGGAGGAAGACAGGCAGTGGTGATGGGCGCGGGGGTGGCGGTGGCGCCGCCAGCCGGGTGGTGGAGGAAGGCGGTTGGGCAAGGGATGGGTGGGGTGTCACGGTGAGAGCCCCGTGAAGCCAGGTTAGCGTGGCAGCGGTGGGCGGCAGCAGATCCGGCGGAGATGGAGGAGGAAGGCGGGGCGGGGGCGCCACAGGTGAAGCTGGGTTCGCAGTGGCGGAGCCACCCTATCGGTCGACATGGGGCAGCCGCCCCAGCTACCAGCCGGTGATGTTCACTGCATCCTCTTCTTTTTAATGTCATCTTTCTCATCTCCATGGTTGGCGATGCATGGAGCGCCAGAGATTGGCATCTGTCAGAATCGGACAAGACAGAAAAAAGGCCGCTGCAGCTTGGCGGTTTGCTTGGCTTGTTTAATAGGGTCATGGCATGACGGCAAGAGACCTACTGTACTTAGACTATCTCCAACAACAACAATAACAACAACATAGCCTTTCAGTCCCAATCAAGTTGGGGTAGGCTAGAGTTGAAACCCACCAAGAGCCCCAAGTCACGGTTCAGGCACTTCAATAGCTGCTTTCCAAGTACTCCTATTCAAACATAGATCTCTAGGTATATCCCAAGCTTTCAAATCTCTTTTTATTGCCTCCCCCCATGTCAATTTCGGTCTTCCTCTACCTCTCCTCATATTATTAGCTTGGCTTAGGACTCCACAATGCACTGGTGCCTCTGGAGGTCTCCTTTGGACATGGCCAAACCACCTCAACCGATGTTGGACAAGCTTTTCTTCAATTGGTGCTACCTCTAGGCGATCACGTATATCATCGTTCCGAACTCGGTCCATTCTTGTGTGACCGTAAATCCATCGTAACATACGCATTTCTGCAACACTCAGTTGTTGAACATGTCAAATCTTTGTAGGCCAACATTCTGCTCCATACAACATAGCCGGTCTAATCGCCGTTCTATAGAATTTGCCTTTTAGCTTTTGTGGTACCCTCTTGTCACAGAGAATGCCAGAAGCTTGTCGCCACTTGATCCACCACGAACATAAATAGGAAACCCATTTGATGGTTTGGGTCACACTGTGGCAAAGGGTCATGGACCTAAAAGTTATCTTTCCTAACAGCGAACGCAAAAGGCATGGCAACAGCAGTTTGAGCGGCGTGACCGGAGCTAGGCGCAGCATGCGGCGCGACGCTTATTTGGGTTCCACATTGCATCCCACCCAAAATGAGTCTGTTGGACCGTGTTTTTTTCCGATAAAGCAACATGAAGTGGGCATTTTGGGTTTGGGTGCCGTGATGTGTCAGCTGTTGGAGATAGTCTTAGTATGCAGCTATATGCAGTAACGTATACCAGTGCCAACAGCAGCAGCTAGCAGGTGATAAGCCAACGTGTTCTAACGACTCATAATGTTTGAGTTTAGATTCTAAACAATTGTGCATTCACCTAGTAGTAAAAGCACTGCTTGGATGATTGATGATTGTCTGATGCCCTTTCTAAATTAAAGTATATGGGTTCTTTTTTGTGCGTGCTTTTGGTTTAGGTCATGTATATTATTCGCCCCAGCTAAAACAAATTCCTGGCTCCGCCACTGCGGGTTAGCATGGCAGCGGTGGGCAGTGGCAGATCCGGCGGCAGGAGGCTGTGGCAGATCCGGCGGCAGGGAGGAGGGCGAGGCGGGGGCATCATGGTGATAGCCCAGCGAAACCGGGTTAGCGTGGCAGCGGTGGGCGGTGGGGAGCCGCCGGAGATGGAGGAGGGGGTGGGTGGGGGCACGGCCAAAAAAATCGAGTGTTTTACACTCGGTTGTTGGGTAGACAAATCCTAGTTATAACATATTTCCCCTTTTGAACTATTATCTCAAAATTTGCTGTTAGTGGGACACTAGCTATAAATTAAGGGATATCAGAAATGCACATATGGGACTGACTAATTAATACGTATGTGTTACATATGATTTGTGTATGTTGTTGCTTGCTGTCCTGCCATGAACTATCTTCAAAATGTATTAATAAGATATTAAACTGAACTCCATATGCGTTGTCAACTTTACAGATTCGGGTATTTGTCTCTGTTCCTGGGAGTTCTGTGGGACAAAATGATGTACCAGATTCTTTTTACAAGCTTAGTGGTGAGGAGATAAGGAATGAAGCAAAGATGAGGAGGGAAAGGTTAGAACAATCTCGATTGCTGATACCAAAGTCTTACAAGGAGAAGCAGGCATTGGCTGCTCGACAGAAATATAAACAAGCAGTCATTCGAGTTCAGTTTCCAGATAGAATGATTCTTCAGGGCGTATTCCTACCAGGAGAGGCCACTAGTTCACTGTATGAGGTACCATGCTTGTTTCTTCCAATAATTTGTCATGTTTTTCAGTATCCTTATTTTCTTGATTCAGAATATGCTGATGTTCCATTCTTGGTGGCATTTGAATATACTACATTTTTCGTATCCATATTGTTTTGATCTAGAATTTGTTGATATTCCATTTTTGGTGACATTTAAATAAACTGAACATCTGTACTATGCTCTTTGAACTGTTCATCATTTTGGCAATTGGTGTGTAATTCACTGGTTCTAACTTGTTCATTCTTGTTAGCCCTAATATAAATTGGTAGCATTTGTGAAACTAGCTCACCGTGAATTGACTTGAAATGCATGGTTGGTTGCCTCTCTGGGCATTTGGTGTTTTTGCTTCCTTTTTTTTAACATTAGTGTTCAAAGTTGTATCCTGGAAACTGTGAACTCTAAAGTGACAATAATTTGCGGAATGATGATCCAGATGATAACTGGGGTGTTTGGTTGAGGGATTGCTTGATCCTAGGCTAGATTGGTCCAATATGGCATCATCCTATAACATTGATGGATGACCACATTCTTTGTTTTTCTATCAATATGGTTATGGGAGATGAAAAGGAGGTCAAAGAAGCCTTGAAAATGATGAAAGGGGGCAAAGCGATGGGCCCTGATGGTATCCCAATCAAGGTGTTGAGATGTCTCGGGGATATAGCTATAGTATGGCTAACCAAGATGTTCAACAATATCTTTCGATCGAACAAGATGCCTGAGGAGTGGAGAAGAAGCATATTGGTACGAATATACAAGAACAAGGGAGATATCTAAAGTTGTACTAATTATCGGGGAATTAAGTTGATGAGCCACACCATGAAGTTATGGGAGAGAGTCATCGAGCAACGCCTGCGAGGAACGACGCAGATATCAACAAACCAATTTGGTTTCATACCCGGAAGGTCAACCACAGAAGCAATTTTCTTAATAAGACAGGTTATAGAGCGGTTTAGAGAGCAGAAGAAGGACCTCCACTTGGTTTTCATTGACTTGGAGAAGGCTTATGACAAGATACCAAGAAATGTTATGTGGTGGTCTTTGGACAAACATAAAGTCCCATCAAAGTACATGACCCTCATCAAGGACATGTACAACAATGTTGTGACTAGTGTTCGAACAAATGATGTTAACACAGATTACTTCCCGATTAAAATTGGACTTCATTAAGGGTCAGCCTTAAGCCCGTATCTCTTTGCCTTGGTAATGGATGAGGTTACTAGGAATATACAAGGGGATATCCTTTGGTGTATCTTGTTCGTTAATGATGTAGTGTTAGTGGACGAAAGTCAAGCGGGAGTAAATAAGAAACTAGAGTTATGGCAGCAGACCCTTGAGTCTAAATGTTTTAGATTGAGCAGAACTAAAACCGAATACATGAGATGCGAATTTGGCGGAGTTGTACAGGAGGAGGGTGATGTGAGTTTGGAAGGTCAAGTAGTGCCTAAGAAGGATACCTTTCGGTATCTGGGATCGATGTTACAGAGGGATGGAGATATTGATGCGGACGTTAGCCATAGAACCAAAGCAGGGTGGATCAAGTGACGACAAGCTTCTGGCATTCTCTGTGACAAGAGGATACCACAAAAGCTAAAAGGCAAGTTTTATAGAATGACGATTAGATCGGCTATGTTGTATGGAGCAGAATGTTGACCTACAAAGATTCGACATGTTCAACAACTGAGTGTTGCAGAAATGCATATGTTGCAATGGATTTGCGGTCAAACAAGAATGGATCGAGTTCGGAACGATGATATACGTGATCGCCTAGAGATAGCACCAATTGAAGAAAAGCTTATCCAACATCGGTTGAGGTGGTTTGGCCATGTCCAAAGGAGACCTCCAGAGACACCAGTGCATTGTGGAGTCCTAAGCCAAGCTAATAATATGAGGAGAGGTAGAGGAAGACCGAAATTGACATGGGGGAGGCAATAAAAAGAGATTTGAAAGCTTAGGATATACCTAGAGATCTATGTTTGAATAGGAGTACTTGGAAAGCAGCTATTGAAGTGCCTGAACCGTGACTTGGGGCTCTTGGTGGGTTTTAACTCTAGCCTACCTCAACTTGCTTGGGATTGAAAGGCTATGTTGTTGTTGTTGTTGTTGATGATGATGTTATGGGAGATGAAAATATTGGTGGGCCAACTTATCAGATTCATCCAGTTAATACTCCCTCTCTTTCCAAATTGTAGTTCACTTGGGGTTTGTCCTAAGTCAAACTACTTTAACTTTGACCAATATTTTGGAAAAATATATTAACATCTATAAGTCCAAATAAATACATTATCAACTTACTCCATGGCTCTCCTGCATATTTGAGAGAGAGAACATATGTCATGGATAATAATTTAATAAAACTAATTTGATGTTTTAGATGTTAGTGCATATTTCAAAGTTGGATAAGTTTGACTTGGGACAAAACCAAAGTGAACTACAATTTGGAACGGAGGAGTAAGTAGGATTGGTTCAGAGTTGGATTTGTGAACCATTTTCAGTCAGAAAAATTAACAACCTTGGTTGCTGACACAGGGATCCATCAGCATAACCTGTTTGTCTGGGCTTTGTAGCCTGTACACAGTGGTCTTCATGGCAGTGCATATTATGTATTGTTTGGTCTTTGTGGGTACAGTGGTTGACTATATCAGGTGGTGCTGGTGTTTCAGTGACACTGGATATTCATCTCTTGCCCCTAATAGAAGTTATAGAGTGCTGTATGGGAAGCTCGAGTACAATACCCTTTCTATATCAACATGATCTATTTGTATGTAGCTAATGTGCTTTGTGAATCTGACATGTTGTCATCTACGCTAGCTTATTTTTGTAAGTAAGCACCGTAGCTGTTTCCTGTACATCATTTTATGCTGTCATCTTTTTTTCTACTTGAAATTGTCCTTGTAAACTTGTATCTTGTTCCTGCATTATTTCTGGTCGAAAATGTCTGTTAATATTTGAACTTTTATCTTATTCATTTCATGGCTTTGTAGCATGGACAGTCTGCTGTTGCAGACTTACAGTCATTGTAGGTTAGCTTATCTGTACTGAGTCTTGCAGCTGTTCATTATTGTTATTCTGTGACCTGTGCCACTGAAAGTTGTTTCATTTGATGTTTATACCAATTTTCTTGCAGTATAATCTATCTATGGCAGTTTCTGGTTTGTAGCTGCCGACTAACGTGTGCTGTCTTTCCTTATTGCAGTTCGTCACATCTGCTCTGAAGCAACCAGGTTTGGAATTCGAACTTATCTCTCCAGCCATTCCTAAGCCACGTGTGGTGCCCCATTTTCCAAACCCGGGCGAGCGGGCACGCACCTTGCAAGAGGAGGAGCTGGTCCCTTCCGCTCTCCTCAAGTTCATTCCCAAGGAGACTGATTCCGTGGTTTTCACCGGTTTGCTTGATGAGCTTCTCATGGCCAGTGAGCCGCTTCCTGCTGCATCACAATGAACTGTGTGAATAGCAGATCATTTGTGGGCTGCTGACTTCGTTTTTGAGGTTCTCTTACATCAGACTTATAAAAACACAGGATTTACTTAGATAACGATACATACCTGTATTGGCTGACATATCTTGCGGAAAGGCTACTCAAGAATTCGTTAGGGCCATGCTGAACTGGATCTTAAGTGGGCTGGGCTGGACTGTGAAACTCCAATTCATGGAAAGATTGTTTGATTTGGCTGTCGTGGATTCTTTCCGATTTTTCCAAAGGCCCAGTTTCTGTACTCTTACCATCCCCACCCCCACACATACACACAGTACATTATTAAGTTGTTACTTGAAGATTGAAGTAACACCATTGTAGGTTGTGACGCATACGGCGCGGGTAGTATTACTGCTCTTTGGCACCATTGCTTTTGTCTGGTGGTTTCATTAAAAAAGAAAATACCGTCCGCTGGTGCACCGCATCGCCGTTTCTTCGTGCATCGTGACACTGTTCTGATGGTTGGGCCTTGCTGCCCACGGAGTTCGGAGTAGGGAACTCTAGCTTCATGGCTGGGTGGCTACAGTATTGACACGGCATGCAATATATATATATAGAATAATAATCTCGATGCTGCGTGCGTATGCGTGTGTGTGGACGCGCGCGCGCATCAAACCAACCACAACTTGCATTGGGCGTTAATCTTTTCACGGTATCGGTTTCGGTTGGTATAAAAAATTAGCCGAGCAAGCAAGCAGGGCAAGTCGCCGTATGATTTGTAGCCCCAACCCTTACATGCATTGCACACTGACCACGATGACATTGTAAAGTACTCGATGAGACGATGACCTTATGTTATTCTTGTTAGTATGTTATTACTAGTAGTAATCAAGATGATGATCCTATGTCCAGCAGAGCGAGCCAGCAGCTTGCCTCTCACATCTCCCTGCACCACAATTATTCCCCAGTTGCCGCAATAGTTTATGCATAGTCCTGCTAGTAGTTGCTTTCGCTTTGTAGAGAATATATATATATATATATAGAGAGAGAGAGAGGGGGAGAGTATATTCAATAGCTAGCTATAAAATAAGTTATTCTATAGCCACCTCTATTTACGATAATTTTATATACTAATTTACGATAATATCAATACATATTTACGATAGTTGGGTTACTATAACATATGGAGATATTTACCATAACGTTATAATAAATCATTTAGTATGGAGTTACTATAATTTCGTAAATTAACATAGTAATTATCGTAACACAAAGTGGCTACAAAATAAGTTATTTTATAGCCAGCTACAAAGTAGTATATATATATATATATATATATATATATATATATATATATATATATATATATATATATATATATATATATATATATATATATATATATATATATATATATATATATAGAATACTATTTTACACCGAGAGAGATAATTGAACAAAATTCAGAGAGAGATTTTTAGTATTTCGAGGTGTAGGGGTGTAGATTGACCGATATGAACACGAGAGAGAGTCAGTCTTGCCTTACAGAGAGAGATAGATAGACCGTGACGCCATGCACTAGATTTATGGTTGTACAAGGATGCTCATGTTCCTACTGGGTAACAAAAAGAACGCCTTCAAAATCTTTGACTGAATCATCCATCATATGCTCCTAGTTGCATTGCATCAAGAAAAGCTTTTGCTAACTGAACCCCTTCATCACGCTAGCCTACAGCTAGCTCAGTCGTCCCAGCTTTTTTTTTCAATTAATGTAATGTGCATGTAATCCTCTGCACATGCATGCATGCACGCCATCATGCCAACTTTTAGTAAAGTGCATGAACAGCAACGGGGATTCTTGTTTACGTAGACTTCAGGCTTTGTTCGGTAAAATTAAATTAGAGTTGGTACGGTACCACACACTCCGCACTGACACGCTAGCTCTACGTATATCGTGTGGCAGTTCTGTGATCCGCAATATAAGATATATATTAATTAATATATAATATACATACACGCCGTGCTTGACGTTGCATGCCATTCGTCACACAGTGTAAAGCTATAGCTAGTCGATAGATATATATATATATAGGCCTTGTTTGGATACTTATGACTTGTGAGATTGTGGAAGCTGAATTTTAAAAGCAAGATTGCTAAAAGATAGATTATAGAAGCTATGTTGATAGGTTGTTTGGACCCACAGATTCCAAAAGCTAGTAATTAATCCATATGTTCTAAGTTATTGTTTAGTTTTAGTTTTTCTTATGTAACTAGCCATAGCGTATATATATCTAAGTGTATTAATAAAGGTGTTATGTATCTAAAAAATCCAAAATGACCTATAATTTGGTGTGGATAAAGTAATTTACTATGTGGATGTAATAGATAATTGTAATAAAGAGGATAAGTATAAAGCATTGGTACCACATTTACGCGTTGGAGTGGGACCTCTAGTAGATCTTGACCACCACAGAAACAAGTAGCAGTACGAAGAGCCCAAACCCACGTCCGGATCATCATGAATCAAACTTGGCTATCTTGGAATAATGTCGTTTGTAACTTTTGGAATAATGTTTCCATCACATCAAATCTTTGACACATGTTTGTAAAAAAATAACTTTGTGTCGCAAATGTTTGGCTGCAAACCCACGAGGTAGGTTTCTAATCCAAGACAGAACGCTCTGCAAACCCATGCTGTTAATGTGGAACGCCTGCTACTGCAATGTGGAGCTGGACCCCCAACCCAACAGGCCAACAATGGCAGGCGGACGCTACAGCGTCCCACGCGGTTTGGGCTGTGGACACAGGATGGACAGCATGCGCACGAAAGCGGCTGGAGACCGAATGGAATCGCCGCTGCCGCTGCCAGCTCACGTGATCGCGATCCCCCCTTGGTCTCGTCCCGGCGGCCCCGGCGTGAGGCGAATAGTCGTCGACGGCGACGGCTCGACATGCGGACCGCGGACGGACACGGATTCGTGTGCCGCGCGCGCACGAGCACAGCCGCGCACCCACCGCCGGCACTGATAGATGCCATTGCCATCCGTCACGTGGCTTGGAGTCCATATCCCAACGCCAACGAGCGGTCCGTACCATGCGGGACCGCATGTCCCCAGCCACACTGTGGCTCTCTGTTCGCTTTATTTAAAGCCATGGTTGAGAGTATTGTTCGTTGATTTGTTTTGAGAGAAAAATATTGTTCGTTTGTTAAAATAGTACGGCTCATAAGACAAGCGAACATGACCATTATCTACGTACCTACTAGTATCTCCTTGTGTTTAAAATGTACACATCTCTCTTTTTTTTATTGCGCATCACAAAAGAGGTGAGACAATTCGAAAGGCCCACTAGACTCTATTCGCTTGTCTTATAAGCCGTATTTTTTCAGAGACATAACAGTATTTTCCTCTCACAACAAATCAGGCAATAATACTTTTCAGCATCTTAGTCAATTAGAAGACATCCACCCCATGCTTGGTGAAGATCTATATCCACGCTTGGTGTTCGTGATCCAAACTAAATACGCCACCTTTGAATGATATACTAGTATAGTGTTCAATATCGTTGCACACATCTTTGCTAGGATAACCAATTTATCAAGGTGAAACAACTTACTAATGCGATGGGGGGAAATCTGACATCTTATCTTACAAAACATTTCAGAACATTTCGAAGCCGCGCGAACAGCATAGACAAGGATTGACCGTGGAACAGAGGAATCACAGAATTTGAGAACATTTCCAAGAAAGGAAACAAATGAATAAGTCCAGATTCGTTATTTAATTTCTTTTAAAGCATGCGATGAGACTGAGGAGAGGAGGTGGGTGGTGGGAGGCGACGGAGGGGGATTGTGTAAATCAAACCATACTGAAATTGATACCACTGAAAGTTATTGTCACAATTGGTGAGATACTAAGGAGCATCGTGCGATGGACGATAGGCTTGCATGTTTTTAGTCTGTGGTCTGCAATCATGTAGATCCAACAACGTTCTCCATTGGTCTGCAATCATGTCGATCTAACAATATTCTTTGCTTGATTCGCCTCTATGTCTTTTTAGATTAAAAAAAAAGCTTGACAAAGAATATATTAAAGTCACAAAATTCATGTAGCAGTACAACTAAATCACTTTATATGTAGTACTTTCCATTGTTACTACGCAAATAAAGCTACAGACATGTGATTCTAGCTAATGGAGCTATTTGTTCTAGTCGCGAATTCATGTTTTGTCATGGAGGCATACGTAGCTCGATCCATTACCTTAAGGGCACGTTCGTTTCACACGGAATGGAGCGCCGGAACGGATCCGGCCAGGAACGTTGACGTATTTTATACGGGCCACCCACCACCAGGAAGCGATCTGGCGGGGAATCAGACGAAACGAACGGGCCCTAAGGATTTTGCCTGTAATGAGAGCAAGAGGACTTGAACAAGAAGAAAGAAATAGATCTTGCTGTGATTATATTGGGGTAGTCACATGTTTTTTTCCTTCAATAAACAAGCACCTATATTTATATTGTAACGCCGCTTGCACGACCAATGACATGAACAACTCATCATCAATCTATATGCATATCCTTGCTTGGTCCTCAAGTCAATATAATATACATATATATAGGACAAAGATGCGGCCACTTTGCATTGCATGCGACCGGCCGGCACTCATCGGCGGTCGGCGCGCGCCTTTCTCACCAACGCCGCCAGCCTTTATTTCTGCTATAAAAAGGTTACGATTCGGTGAAAAGCCGGCCGGCTTTGGAAACCTACGAACGCCGGACACGTACACAAGTACCAGAGAGAATAAGTTAGTTGGGACGTCCTTGGCGTGGACGACTGATGGCCCAGCTACAAGATCGAGAGATCGATGTTCGATCCCTATATATGTAGGGTTCCAGTGATGATCATGAAGAGACACGTATCGTAGTCTTAGTTCTGACTCCTGAGAGCAAGCAAAGCATGAATAAGAATGCTTGCTTGCATGTCTATAGCTATGCCTACAATGACTCCGATCTTATATTTTCCTTCTC